TTGTTTGATACAAAATGTCTGTAAGTGTGGTGCCGGGTTGATACAAAGTGTCTGTAAATGTGGTGCCGGGTTGATACAAAGTGTCTGTAAATGTGGTGCTGGGTTGATACAAAGTGTCTGTAAAAGTGGTGCCGGGTTGATACAAGGTATCTGTAAATGTGTTGCTAACTTTCAAGTTTTAATGCACTAAAGGACAGCAATTTAGGGAGAAAGGCCAGCATTTTACATTGTCATGACTGTGGTGAAAGTTTTGCTTTCCAAATGAAAGCTGTTCCTTGGCTGTGCAAAGCCGGATGTCCTAGCTGGTGGAGAGCAGGTGGGGCCGGGACAGGTGGGGCCGGGCTGGTGGGTCTGGCCGCCCTCTGCCCGCTGTGTGCAGGGCTGCGTTGGCTCCAGAGCTCAGGCAGTCCTCTCCTCTGGCTCCTGCTGCTTGTCCTCTGCTGGGCCGTTATGCACGCCCGGCTTCCCCTTCATGGCATCATTGGCTCCTGGGAGCCAGCCAGGTGGCGCGCCACGCTACATTGGAAGAGATAATGTTGTTCCTGGTGAAGGTTATTCTGCGGCCCAGCAGCCCTTTCCCTACGTGAAGCCTGGCTTAGTGATGGGAAGGCAGGTGCCTGGGTTCTCCAGGATATGGCAGAGGGTCTGGAAGCAGCAGGAGGGAGGCTGGGGTGGGGGGTGGGAGGCAATGGCTCCCGGCATTTGCAGAGTTTTCACTGGCAGGCTGGGCAGCTGCAGAAGGGCCTCCTTCAAAGACTCATCACATGGGACCCTACAGGATTGGGCCTGGGGTGTGTGGGACTCAGGAAGGAGCAGGTGTGGCTGTCAGGAGACCCCTTTCCAGCACAACTCCAGGGCCCAGGGCTGGCTTTGTTCTGGGCAGCCATGGGCTCAGCTCTTCCCCAAAGAATTGGGTTGGACCCCAACCTCTGAGCAGTGGACATCAGAGAGGTGACAGAGGACAGATGACAGGCACTCATGGCTTCTCAGTGTTGGAAGAGAAAGGTCCTCAGAGTGAACTGCCCAGGCAGACATGACTTAGAAACATGCAGTTGCTCAGTCCACTCAGCTCAGACCAGCCTCTGAGTGACGGGCTTCTCCCTGTGGCACCTGGCCCACTTGCCATAGGTACAGGGCATGGTGTGTGCCCAGCAAGCCTGTCCCCCACCAAGCTCCCACAGATGAGGGCGCTCGGCCACAGACAAAAGCCATGGTTCTGCGAGGTTCTGGCATCCACAGGGAAGCCTGTTGGATTCCCCAAAGGTGGAATCCACGCCATGGTGGGATGGGAACTGTGCTTCTGTTGGAGCACAGACTCACAGGGTGTGAAACATGGAGACTGGAGGCGGCAGGGCAAGGTCATGTGTGCTCCTACTACACCACTTGCTACTCACATATGTGTATGCATACTTGCAGACACACACCATATACATGCACACACCCCACACATGCACACATACGCAAATAGCAGACATGCACACATACTTACATGACACATGCAGGTGAACCTACCCATGCCACACATGTGCACATACCACACATGTCACTCATGGACACCTACCTGTGCACACACCACACACATGCCACACGTGCACACATACACCCATGACACATGTATACATGAACGCACACATGTCACACACATGTACGCACACCACACATGCTACACACCTGTGCACAGCACACACACATACACCCATGACACATGTGCATGTGAACCAACACATGCCACATACCACACATGCCACACATGCATACCTGTGCAGACACACATGCACACATACACCCATGACACGTGCATGTGAACCCACACATGCCACATATGTGCACACACCAAACATACCACACATGCACACCTGTGCACACAGACAGCACACATGCACACATACACCCATGACACATGTACATGGCACACACACACACACACACACACACCCCTCTTTTTCTACCTTCCAGTGCATCTGGATTGCAAATGGATAAGGCTGCACCGGCAGTGAATGCTGTGGGGAGCTGTGAAGGGAGGGCAGATTCATTTGTGGATTTGTCTTTCTATGAAAATAACTAAAATAAACTGCATCACACAAAGCGGGGCAACTAGTTCACTGGTTGAAAATGAGGCTTCTCAAGCTTCTCAAGAGCATTGTAACTATTGTAAATAATGTAAAGTTATTGTTAGCTCTAAGTTTCTACCCATTAGCGGAAGGCTCTGAGAGCTAATGCTCACAGCCCAAGGCAGCTTGGCTGCCAGGACAGAGCCTGAGAGTCTTCCAGAAAGTCTTGGCCTCCTCAGGCCCCCTCTTCTCCTAACTGCCCAGTGTAGGGGTACTTAAGGAAGGGGAGAGGGGAGGAGAAGCTCCTACGTGGGGTGGGTATATCCGTCTCTCAGGAGTCTCGGGGGCAGAGCTGTCACTTTCCCATGCAGCCAGGCAGTTTATTTCTCCAGGTCTTGGCCTCTGGCTGCTACAGAAAGGCAGCTGCTGTGCTCTGTAAGTTATAAACCATTTGCTCCGTGCCCCAAACATCCTCTGGCCCTTGCTGAGGCTTCATTTCTTTTCTCCTAAGGGAGACCAGCTCCAGCCAGGATCCCAGCAGCTCCAGGTGTGGAGGAGGAGGAAACAGTGACTTCCCCTTCCACGTTTCCAGGTACGTCTGTCCACATTCAGGCTCAGCTTGGGGGTGTATGTGCATGCTCCTGGGGTATGTGTGCATGTGTGCTTCTGGGGTATGTGCACTCCTGGGGTGTGTGTATGCAGATGTGTGTGCATGTGTGTGTGTACTCCTGGGATGTGTGTGTGTGTGCTCCTGGGGTGTGTGTGTGTGCACTCCTGAGGTGTGTGTGTGCATATGTATGTGCATGCCTGGGGTGTGTGTATGTGCACTCCTGAGGTGTGTGTTTATGTGCACTCCTGGAGTGTGTGTGGTGTGTGTACGCCTGGGATTGTGTGTGTGCTCCTGGAGTGTGTGTGCATGTGTGTGTGCACTCCTGGGGTGTGTATGTGCACTTCTGGGGTGTGTGTATGTGCACTCCTGAGATGTGTGTGCATGTGTGCATGCCTGGGGTGTGTGTGTGTGCATATGTGTGTGCATGCCTGGGATGTATTTGCACTCCTGAGGTGTGTGTGTATGTGCACTCCTGGAGTGTGTGCATGTGTGTGCACGTGTGTGTGTGTACTCCTGGGGTGTGTGTGTGCACTCCTGGGTGTGTGTATGTGTACTCCTGGAGTGTTTGTGCGTGTGTGTGCACTCCTGGGTTATGTGTGTATGTGCACTCAAGTGTGTGTGCATGTGTGTGTGTACTCCTGGGATGTGTGTGTGTGCTCCTGTGGTGTGTTTGCATGTGTATTTGTGTACTCCTGGGGTGTGCGTGCATGTGCATGTGTGCTCCTGGGGTGTGTGTGTGCATGTGTGTGTGTGCTCCTGGTGTGTGTATGTGTACACACACATGTCTGTGTGTGCTCTTGGAGTGTGTGTATGCACACATGTACAGGTCTGGTGTGTGCTTTTACTTTCTCTATCCCAGGTTTCGGAAGTAGTGATCAATAAATGGACTAATCTGGAAATTTTCCATTTTGGCTCACCAGAGAACAGAAGTGACCTGGGTCAAAGCTTCACTTGAGTCTCAACTCAAGGCTGGGCTGAGCCCTCTCTAGAGCCAGTACACCTTCCTCCTAATTCCCTCCTTCCACGTCTCGAAGAGAAGGGGTCCAAGAGAGGGCATTGACCTTCACTCTGGTCCTGACACTCAAAGGCTGTGATGTGCTTTTATGGAACGACCTCTCTTTACAATGTGGTTAATGATTATGTGGGCTGTTAAGGGGCTGTGTTTCCCAGGTGGATGGCAAAGTGCATAGCATCCCCTGAAGACCCTCCCACCACACCCACCCCAGGGGCACCTCACCTCCTCCTGTCCCATGGCAACAGGCATGTGCTGACCTCTTCCTGGTTGAAAAAGGAGCCAACTGCCAGGTGGTGTTAAAATTTAAGGAGCTGTCCACATGATGTGGAATGTCTCGTCCTCTCTGTTAAATGCCACACAATTTGCTGTGAACCCAGAGGCCAGCTCCTGCAGCCACACACTCCTGGATCCTCACCCCTGCAGTCTGCCTCTGAGACACCGCTCAGATACCTTTCCTAAACCAACCTGTGCCAACCTCAGGACACTGCTTGGGCCCTCTCCAGTTTCATGCACCAGAAATGTTTGCACAGGAAGGCTCCCATCCAGCCTTTTGTTTGTTAAATACGTGTACAACCTGTGTTCTAAGACACTGACCATTGTTCTTTCTGGTTTGGAGGGAAAAACAAAGGAAGGAGAGGAGAGAATAGCCCAAGAAAACCGGTTAATTTCTTGGAATCCCTGGGGTTCTCAGTCCCACAGACTTTACTGACATTTTCCTGTCCTTTAGGTAAGGAAGGGATGCCAGGTGAGGATGAGACAGCAGGTGACGATGGAACTGTAGGTAATGCTAAGATTCCAGGTGATGGTGGGAGTGCAGGTGAGAATGGAACTGAAGGTGAGGCTAAGATTCCAGGTGAGGGTGGGACTGCAGGTGAGGAGGGGACTGCAGGTGAGGCTAAGATTCCAGGTGAGGGTGGGACTGCAGGTGAGGAGGGGACTGCAGGTGAGGCTAAGATTCTAGGTGAGGATGGGACTGCTAGGGAGAATGGGACTGCAGGTTACTGTAGGACTCCAGGTAAGGATAGGACTTCAGATGAAGACAGGATTGTAGGTGGAGACAAGATTCTGGGTGAGGACAGGAGCTCAAATGAGAAGAGGATTACAGAGGAGGACAGAACTGCAGGTGTGGGTGGGACTGCAGGAGAAGATGGGACTCTGTGGCAGAATGAGAACAGAAAACTGTCTACTGTCTCTCCAGGTAAGGCCAAACAGACCCCTCCCCCGGAGACGACTCCAAGTATCTCAGGTTTTGGGGACAGCTGGGGAATCCCTGCACACATGACACAGGGGCCTTTGTGTACTTTGGGGAAGGGAAGCCACTTACTTAGGGTGTCTTCATCCTCTGTATTTGTGGTGCCAGGACTCAGGTGCTTGAAGGGAGCGAGGAAGGTTGACAGTATGCTTACTTTATCTGGAAAGAAAAGAACAGGAAATGCACTTTTGACACGAGGCTTCCGAAAAACTCAGTGATTTTATAAATTCTTATTACTGAAGGTTGGACAAGGGAGGTGGACAGGTCACCTTGGTTTCAGCCATTTCATTCTGGTTCAGTCTTTTACTGACTATCCGACAGCGTTTTATCAAATTCCTCTCTCCACTTAATTTAAAACTCTACAATTTCCTCCTTTCTTCTCTTATTTTGACATTTCCCTTCATCTTGCCCACATCCATTAAAACTTTAAGCAGCTGTCTCCAGGGTGGCGACCTTGCATCTGTTTACAAGATCCTGGGTAGGGCAGAGCCTTCTGTCAAGATCATGTCACAGAGATGAACTAAGACACGTAAAACCATTCCACAATTAAAAGAAAATGGCACAAATAAAACCAAGGCTATCCTTCCCCGTTAGTGCAGAATTTGCTTTCTGGGCTTGACATGCATTAAAAATAAAGGACTTGTCACTTAGCAGGCGTTTGGTAGAAGTAGAGGAGGGGAGGGGGGAGCTAGCGGTGTGGGCAGAGCATGCACAGTAATTCTGGAAACGGCCAAGCATCCTTGATGTGGTGGCTGGAATTCCAGGCCGGCCTCTGCCTGAAGCCTGTGGCCAGGTGAGCAAAGGCCAAGCAGGCCCTGGGTCCCCACCACTCGGTGCAGCATGGCTGTGGAAGCAGATCCAACCAGGAACTGCTGCTTCTCACTAATGAAGTATGCTTTTCTACTCTCACGGTCTCAGCGATTTACTTCATCAACAGGGAGATTAAGAAATGGTGCATTTGAGGTATGATCGAGAGAGATAAAAATGACTAATAAAGGGATCCAAAAGAAAAGTTCCTTATCTTGGAGATTTCCACCACCTAAATTAAACCGCTGCACTCAGGAGTGTTGGTTCACACAGAACTCACTGCACTGCAGAGAAGACTCCAACAGAGATACTGCAAAGACAGCCCCTTGCTCCCAGGCACCCTCCAGTGTGCACAGTTTGCTGTGTGCCATTACAAACCTGGACCACACTGGTTAAGACGCCACAGGTGGAAATACCAGCGTTACTCATCCAACGCAGTGCAGAGCACCACAGAACCATTTCCTGGGGTCCCCGCTGCTTAAGTTGCCAGGGTACTGGCTGTGGGATTGCCTGCTTTGCTATGTGGGATCCTTCCCCCTCCTTTGGAAGCTGTGGACACCCGTGGGCAGGATCTCCCAGGAGGTCACTGAATTTACATCAAACTGTAATAAGGACAGCTCTCTGCAGGTGCCTCACTGTGACACTGTGTACCTGCCCCAAGTGCGATTTCTCAAGAAAACATAACTGCTGGTTTCATTTGCCCTTGGCCCTCAGCTGTCCAGACCTAGCCTGAAACTGGCTCTTTTTCTTTTGAGGCTGAGTCTGTTTTCTCCTTAGCCAAGATGTCCAGAGGCCAGGAGAGTTCACAGTGAAATTCATTCAGGAGCCCGTTAACAGCTGTTGTTTTCAGTAGGGATGGGCAACAGAGAGAACAGTAAATCACTCAGATATAAAATGCCTGTGCCTTCTTTGTTCTACCAAACAAAAATAAACCACCGAAGGTTTGCCCTCCTAAACCCTCGCAGCCCAAGCTAATTTACTACAAGAGAACGAAATATCTTGCTTGAGTTATAATTTCATTAAGGGAGTCCAATAATGTTACACAAAGAGTGTGAAGTTCAAATGATTTAGTCTGGAGGATCTCAAAATGAAATTACATTTTTTAATAAAGTAGGGCTACCAGCCAAACACTCACAAAAATGCACTAAAGTATTTCAAACTTTACCTTAGCAAAATTATAAGATATTTAAGGATTGTTCTAGATCTAGGAAAGTTTTTACTTTCTGATGTTGCTAAATTTATCAAATAAAAATTCAGGACATCTGTTAAAATTGAGTTTTAGATAAACAATAGATAATTTTTTAGTATATAGACATTTCTAGTATTGTATGAGACACATTTTTGTATGTGTGTTTATATATGTATAATATTTATGTATATATATATAGTGTATATGTATATATATAAATATTATATACATATATATACACACATACACACATATATACTTAAAAGACCTTACTCATGGTTTATCTGAAATTCAGTGGAAGACACAGGACTCAACGATCTGGTGGACAGCATAAAACAGTCTAACTTATGTATAATTGGAATTCAATAAAAAGTGGAAAAACTATGAAGGTATGAAATATACTTTAAATAATAGTTTAAAAGTTTTTAATTTTTTAGATATCCAATCACAGATCCAAGTATCTCAATCAAACTTACGTAGAATAAATATGAAGAAGACTGTACCAATGTACAGCCGAGCCAAATTTCTGAAAACAAAGATGGAGAAAACGTTCTCAAAGTCGCCAAACAAGACATCTTACATACAGAGCAACAGCAATAAGAATGACAGAATACAAATTTAAATTATGTCAAAAGACTATCAAAGCTTTAAATACAAGATAATGACAATATATTATAATGACAATGTGTTGTAATGTTTATTGTAAATATTGTATATTTAGAAAACATATGAAAAGAGTAGTGCACACCTTGGGATGCGGTAAATGTGATTATTCTGTTGTAAGTTTCTTTCTTTGATCATGAGGTAGTTGGCTATAAGTTAAACATGCATGCTTTAATCTCTAGATTCGTCACTAAAAATAATGCAAAGAGGTATAGCAAAACATCAACAGAGAAGATAAAATAAAATACTAAAAATGATTGATTCATTGAAAAAGGCACAGAAGGAGAAACAATGAAATAAACAGAAAACAAATTAGCAATATGGTACACTTAAATCCAAATACATCAGTAATTACATCAAATGTAAATGGACTAAGCACTACAATTAAATTGCAGAGATATTCAAATTGTATTTTAAAAACAAAATATATTTTTGATTGCTACAAAAAACCCACTTCAAATATAAAAATGTAGATGGGTTAAAAGTTAAATGATTGAAAAAGATACACCATGCAAATGCTTGTTTTAAGAAAGACGGAATGGCTATGTTCACAATAAATGCAGTTTTCAAAAGATGAAATATTGCCAGGGATTAAGAAAGACATATCAGAAGGATCAAGTCATCAAGATAATATGATCTTTGGTGTTTATACATTCAACAGAGTCTTAAACAACAAGAATAAAAAACTAACAAAATGAAAGGGGGTAGATACCTACAGAATCATAGTTTGAGATTTTAACATTTCTCCCTTAGTTACTGAGAAAACAAGTAGTGAGAAAAAAGCTGTACAGAACAGAAAATTAAAAGAATGCTAACAGCTAACTTGACCTAAACAACATTTATAGAACACTGTATAGAGTATTTGCTGAGATGCACTATATACTACGAAATAAAAAAGGTCTCAATACATTTTATAGGTTTGAAATCATAAAAGTGTGTTTTCTGGTCGCAATATAATTATGTTAAATATATGTAACAAAAAGATATATGGAAAATCTCTATATACTCAGAAATTCAGTATCACCATTGCAAGTGACCCAAGAGTTAAAAGGGAAATCTCAGGAAAATTAAAGCCTCTTTATTCTCAGTGATAAAGTGTAACATATTACAATTTGTGAAACACAGTTAAAGCAATGCTGAGAGACACATTTTAGCTCTCAATTTATGCTTATGTTAGAAAAGAAAAAACATCCAACATTATTTAAGCTTCGTCAGAAGCTAAGAAGGAAAAAAAGAGAGTACATCAAATCCAAAGATATTAGTAGATGAAAGTACTAAAATTAAGAGTAGGAGTCAAAATAGGAAGTGGAAAACAATAGGGGAAAAAACCCCTAATGAAACAAACAAATTGGCTCTTTGAATAGGTTTGATAAGTCTCAAGTTAGATTAATCACAGTAATGGAGAAAAAAAGTCCATGTTATCAAATTAGAAATAAATAAGGGAAGCTTACTACAGTTCCTGCAGTCATTAAATAAGAATATGGGAATAATGTAATCTAGTGTATGCCCGTCAGTGCAAAGCATAGATGCAACAGGAAAATTCTTTGTAAGGCACACACTATGAAAGGCCACTGATGGAGAAGCAGAAAACCAGAAGAGCGTAATATATATTAAGTAAATTTAATTCATAGTAAAAACCATCTCACATATCAACTAGGCTCAGAGAGCTCCCTCTGGTGAAATGCAAGAATTATTAAAAAAGAAATTATATCAATTCTATGCAAAATTTTCTACAAAAATGGAAGAGGGGGGATGACTATCAAAATTATTTAATAAGGCCAATGTTAATCTAAAGCCAAAACCAATCAATGATGTTATAAGAAAAAAAAAAAAACAACAACTGCAGACCCATGTTCCTCACAAGCAGATGAGCTTCTAACAGAATATTAGCAAATCAAGTTCAGCCCTATATAAAAAGGTTAACGTATCATGAGCCAGTGCAACTTATCCTGGAATGCAAGATTGATTTACAGTTTGAAAATCAATCAGTGTAATTCACAACCTTAACATAATAAAGTGGGAAAAATCATAGTATCTCAATAGATGCAGAAAAAACATTTGAAAAAAGGCATGCCAAACCTCCACACTTATATTTACGAACTATTGCTAAGTTAAAGAAGACCTAAATAAATAGAAACACACACCATTTCACAGAATCAAGATTCAATATTGTTATAATATCGATTTTTCTCTATCTATAGATACAAAACACATTCTTTGTGAAAATTCTCAACACATAAAGGACTAGAGGAAAATTTCCTCAAATCGATAAAGGACATATCACATATCCAAAACTTATAGCTAGTGTTATATCAAATGATGAAAGATGAAATGACTTCCTCGTGGGATTGGGAACAAGGCAGGGATGCCTGCCTTCACCATTCCTATTCAACATTGCATGGGAGGTGCCTAGTTAGTGTCATAAGGCAAGAAAATAAAAGTCATAGATTTTGGAAAGGAAGTAGAACTGACTTTATGTTCATGCATGATCATATACGTA